CAAGCCTGGCGGCCACCACTTCGTAGCACCAGGGGAGCCTCTCATCGGCCTTCCACCCCTCGGCCAGGAACTTCTCAACGGCCTCGTCAGCAGCCCTCACAGCGGCGGACTCGGCCTCAGCTTTCACCTTAACGGCCTCCTCGCTCTTGCGCTTCTCGGCCTCAAGCGCCCTTTGGGACTCCTCGAGCTCCCTTTTGCTCTCCTCGAGCTTGACCAGGGCATCGTCCCTGGCCGCGGCGGCTTCATCAGCTTTTGCCTGCAGCGCCTTGGCATCCTCCCGGAGCCGATCAAGGCAAGCTACCGCCTCGTCGGCCGAGGCAGCCTTCTGCTCCAGCCCTTTCAAGCGAGCTATCTCCCAGTACTGCCTCTTATGGCTTTCCATAAGCATGAAGGCACTCTGCAAAAGGAAAACAAAGGTCAGGCAAAAGACTCTACACAGACGAAAAGGGAACAAAACATAAGGACAGTAACTTACTTGGACGAAGAGGTCCATGCCGCCCTCGTAAATCTTCTCGTCCCCAAGCTTCTTCAGATAAGCCCGATCTTTGGCCGGCATGGCCTGGGCCAAGACGACGTGGCCAGGGACGAGATCATTAAACACGCCCCCGCCGACGGGGTATTCTATCACCTTCTGGTAGGTGGCACCGGCAATCTCCTTGCCGGCCCTCTTCGTCCGTGGTTCCTGGACGAGAGGAAGCGCTGGGGCAGCATCGTCAGCGACAGTAAGGTCCACGACGGGACCACCATCGTCCACGATGGGGACAGCCAGGGTACCGGCCTCAGTAGCCAGAGAAGGGGAAGGAGCCCTCTTCGTCTTCTTCAAGATGCTTAGGCCGGCCTCAGTCAACTTTTTCTGGCCGTCAGTGGCCGGTCTCTTTTTCTTTGATGGGGCAGGCTTTGGGGCCGCATCAGCAGTAGCCCCGCTCCCACCACCAGCGGCACGTCGGGCCGCCTCGGCCTTGGCAACAGCCATTATGGAACGTCGGTCCATGACAAAGTCTACAAAGGAAAAACAAACAGATTATTAAGGCAAAGGACAAAACATAAAGACAGAAAGCCGAAGAAAAAATTACCATCGGCCTCAGCAGGAATGCCCAAATCCGGGCCATCGGCCTCCTCAAAGGTGGTGGTCATCCTCGGCCAGAGTTGGAGGTCATCCTCCTTATCTCCATACAGGTGATATCTGAAGAAGCCGAGGGCGGTCATCTTGTATTCAGTAACGTAATCTTTCACGCTCCTCGGCCCCCCTTCCGGGAAAGCCTCCACCTGAGCGTCCAAAATAGAGCTCTTCGGCGGGTCATGGAGATTGAACCTCCCGGTATGGCCGAGAGAGGGGAACTCGGTGCCACTCTCACCAATGGACACAAACACGAACTTGCTCTTCCACCCATGAATGGACGTAGGCAAATCCGTGAAGCTCCTCTTCCTCGGCAACTGTTGAAGAGTAGCATAGGCCGCACAGTTCTTGTGGCTTCCTCGGCCGATCTGGTACAAGTTCATGAATAAGGTCGTGGTCGGCCTGAAGCCCAACTCCTCACACCGAAGTAAAAAGCCCACCATCAAGGAATAACTGTTCGGCGTCAGCAAGGCCGGAGGAAGCCCCACCATGTCCAGATACTCAATGACGAAAGGGTGAAGGGGGAACCTCAACCCCTTAGCAAAACTCATCGGGTATACTCCAAAGTATCCCGGTGGCGGAAGTAGAACATGGTCCGTCGGCCTGGGTGCCCTAACCCGCCCGAACGGCCCCACGTACATCTGGGCGACAAGATAGTCGGCCACACTGCTCTCCGGCTTGATCAGGAATATGTTGGTGAGGTCCAGGTAGGAGAGGCCCGGCCCATTCTTCGGCCTCCTCACCCTCTTCGGCTTAGCTGCTCCCTTCACGGCAGACACCGGCCTCGGGCACGGAACGGCAGCAGAAGTGGACGCCCCGTCCACCACTCGGGACGCGCCTACGTCCTCACCCTCTGAAGAGGAGGCGGACTCCTCGTCCTCGCCTTCCTCGTCCATCAGCTCTCCGGATTTGTAGGGGCTTAAACGCTCTATCTCCTCTTCAAACTCCTCGAGCACCTCGTAGTCAAGCGACCTCGTGGAGGGCTGGTCGTCGTAGGGGTAGTAGTTCTCGTTCAAGCTCTTCATTACTACTACTACGGGCTTAAGGAGAACAACTTAAGATCTAAAGGTGTTCAAACGCCTAACACTAGATCAACTACCTAGGAAGCAAAGTATGAAAAGCGAGGAAGATCGTGATGAACACTAACCTCGAACAACGAAGAACACGAAGAACAGGCTTGGGAGTTTATCTCTCTAGAAAATCGGCCAGCACTTCGACAAATTCAGAATGCAATACATTTTCTCGTCGAAGGGTGAGGGGTATTTATAGAACCCCCCACCCAACGGTCACTACACGTGGCACCTCCCCAATGGCCACACCAACGGCCACCAATGGGGGACCACCACGTCACCAACGGGCCAAACTCAAAATCAACAGCCCACTGGCAAGACAGACTCTACGGCCTACACACGCTCAGCGGCTTTACAACTGCCAGCAAGCGCCCACAACGTCCCACTTGCTCGCCAAGATCACAACTGCCAAACAATAAGGAGACGGCAACGGCCAGGAACATAACGGCCACAAGATCAAAGAACCCAAGAGCCCACAAGCCATCGGCTCCTCGTCATGACCCTTGATGATAACTCTCTACAAGCGATCCGCGCGCAAGGGTTCTCCCACAGGGTTACCTTGGCCAGAAAATCACCATGAGAGTTGGATTCAGGGGGGACTACGGCGAGACCGCTTCGGCCAGGGACTCAAGCAACTCCTTCACCCCTCACACTCTTCGGCCTGAAGCAGTGGGGGACTGGGGGACTACACCGGCCTCAACAAAACAAAGAGTATAAACAAGGTAACCACAAAACATGGCCACATCATCCACACAGCACAACGGAACCTCATCGGCCAAAGGCCCATAACGTCATTAGCGACGGCCAACAAGCCACTAGAGGCAAGGACACTCATCGTCCTCCGCCAACAATTAATCTTGACGGGCCCTTCGGCCAAGAACACGAAGGCCAACCAGCAACGGCCAAAAGGAGTGCGCAAGCACCCTCATCGGCCACCCAAAGGAAAGGACGCCATCGTCCTCAAAGCAAGGAACAACCTCAACGGCCTCACCGGCCCAAACATAAACTTCAACCACCAACATCCAGGAAAGGGAAAGCGCGCCTTCAACGGCCGACATTGAAACAAGACAGTCATCATCCTCAAACACATTTAAGGAAACAACGGTCTCCCCACCCGCAGCGAAGAACAGGTAACGGCCAAAGCACAGAACAGGATCACCAAAGAGGAAACAACGCCAAACGCCGCAACGGCTAACGGCCCGGGGATGCCTGCATCGGCCAAGGGCAGCAAAGCACAGGAATCTACTCTCCTTCGCTTCGTCTACGTCTCAGCTTAGAGAGTGGGGGACTCCTGATGGAGTATATGGGTCTGAGCCCCAGGACCCACATACTCGGAAGAACAGAAAGCACAAGACAACAGAGTGGCGCCCTCGTCAGCCAAGACGCCCCCGTCGGCCGAAAAGGAGCCAACTCGGATTATGGTCCTGAGTCCAAGGAACCCGGGTGCCCTCGTCGGCCGTGCCCTCGTCGGCCGTGCCCTCGTCGGCCACAAAGACCTCCCAGAATCGGATTTTATACTTACTCATTTGTACAGCCCATTAGTGGCTTTGTATTCGGTCCAGTAGCGGTCCAGTTGTAAATGGGCCTCCCAAGCCCAAGGCTTGGGAGCCCAACCCTAATTTTCTCTATAAATACTCCCCTTGGGAGTAGTTATAGGGGTTACGAAATCATTCTATTGAAGCATATTATTGCACTTCTCTCTCTAGCTCTCACTTCTCTCTAGATATACTCTATCAAACCCTTTATTGGCCCACCATGGGTGTGGTCTCGGGGGCCCACCCCCTAAAAAAGTACTTAATTGCGAGAAATGAAATAAGATCTAAACTGGACCGATATGTCCACCCCAAAGCTTGATGTTGAATAATTTCATGTGAGCTTTTACAATTTTTGCTGTCCAAAATAAATTGAGACATCTATTTGTCTATGACTAGAAAGATGAAACTTCTTTTTTGACATGATTATGAGGATGGGCAATGCATGCACACCGCTGAGCTTAACATACTTTTTTCTAACCTTGCTTGTAACCTTTTCATTTGTTAATATGATAAATATCTAGTGATGGGCATGTAAAGTAGATTATTAATAGTACAGTGTAGGAATATATATACCATTATCATCTCCACAAGGGCACGAAATATGAAATTACTCAATGACTTCGATTGAAAGAATGTAAAAGTGTTTGTGCGAGATCAGAATGAAATAATTGACTTCAACTATATTAACGATTAAATGAAAGAAGGAAGGTTAGACATGTTCTGAGGCGTGCGGGTTTTCATAAACTAACATGCATCTAGATCGGGTCAAGTGAGTAAGCTTAAGACCCTACATGTGCTAAGCCCTTAGCAAGTGAAAAGGGATCTTGCCAAAAACAATGCTTAAGGAAAAAATAAGGATAAAAATAGCACCATATTCAAAAAAATCAAAAAAAGTGGCTAATAGGCCGTTTATGTCCTCAATCTAGCTGCCTCTAGTGACTTCTGTCCCAACGGTCCATAGCCGATAGTGACCGCTGTTGGCAGTGGCAGTTACACAAGACCTAGTAAAGTGGTTAATCACGAGAGAAGGAAAAAAATGACACTAAGGTTTTTAATGAAGCTCAAATATAACACTCAGGTTTTTGGTGGACCAAATAAACACAATTTTAAACTTTTACCTTCATTTTAACCACTCACTAACTTTCCCATTCAAATGACTGTTTCCCCGTTAGGAAGCCCATTTATTTCTCTGCGATTAAACACCACCACCCCAATAAATACATCCACCCCAATAAATGCATCCAACAACCCTAATGGATTATAACCTACCAATTAAAGGGTGTAGATTCAATCAAGTTTCAAAGAAAGAGGAAAGGATAACAACGGCGATTAGTTGGTCAGCATCAAGGTCGGTAGAGATCAAGAAATCCAACTCTGTAGATTTAGTGAAGTTTCATGAGAATATGGAGCGTCAATATTCTGGATGAACGAGGTATTGTAAATGCATGAACTCAAATGGAAACCGTGTAAAAGCGTAAATTTGGACTTCATGGACTAATAACAATCCTCAAAGACAGTTCTATGGTTGTCTGTATTATGAGGTAATTTTGAAGTTGAAATTTTAATTATGGTGTCATTCAGCCCATTTGATGTATATTCATTTTCGTGTATGTAGAATAATGATTGCGGGTTCTTTGAGTGGCATGATGACCCTTTAACAGATAGGGTGAAGAATGTTATCAATGATTTTAAAAGGGATAATAGAAGGCTACACACTATAATTAAGGGGCTGGAGAAGGTTATCCGTGCAGAGGGGAGCTTTGATGAAGCACCAGTACCGGAATGTGTTGATACTTGCAATGAAAAGATGGAACTGAAGTTGAATATGTTCCTTGTATTTCCGAGATATGTCATGATAACACAAATAATCAGGGTCAAATCCATAGATTGTATCCACGTCCCCATTCACGTAATGTAAAGGCTTGAACACCCACCTCCCACTATGGTTAAACCTCAGGTTGACCAACCCACTCATTTGTACAGTAAAAGTAAGACAAACGAACAGAGTACCTTAGAGCGTTTCAACGGTGTCCATCGTAAGATTTGAGCCTCTAATCTTCTCAAGCGACTCGCTTATTACAGTGCATGAAAATCGATTTAGGATTGCAAATGGGAGTTGTGGGTTTAATCGCAGGGAAAAGGAGTGTTTTAGCTAGGTAACGGTCGTTTGAACGGAAAGTTAGTGGGTGGTTAAAATTGAAGGTAAAAGTTTAAAATTGTGTCTATTTGGTCCACCAAAAACCTGAGTCGTACCTGAGCTTCATTAAAAACTTTAGTGTCATTTTTGGCCCTTCTTGCAATAATCATAGCAAAAAGTGTAATTAATTGAAATTGGAATGCGGAAAATGTACCTTTGTTCCTAAAAAGTCACTTCTCGATCATATTGATTGATTATTTGACTATTTTATATATAAAAATTATGTAATTCTTAAGGAGTAATTAGTAATTAAAATTTACAAAACCTTTTTCAAAATATATCATCCTAACGTGCTGATCTTCTTGTAAGTAAACCTACGTGAGAGCATCTTCAAGATCAAAATGTACATGACTCACATGTAGTATGAGAGAGATAAACACTTACATATTAAGTAGTGGTAAGTAAAATATCTCACATCACATGTTGACAAGTTTTTCTTCACAATGTTGTAGAGTATACATTGTGTTTAACATTGTAGATAATGTGGAAAAAGAGAGAGGAAAATGTCATTGATTTGTTTTTATTTGTCTATTTTTCTCAATCACATGCATGTGCACGGTGCAAATTGTTGCATTAAAGATGTTATAAGAATGACAATATTTTTTTGTGTGTAAAGGATAAGAGTTTTTTTTATCCTACCTAAACGTACAACTTCTGACCTGGTCTGACGCTCGCTTGTTCTCCTTCCATCCTCCCAGGCTCCCATGAAGTTCATTTTCTTCATGATTTTTTGACTGTCAACTTTCCTCTGTTTTTTATAGGGATGTCCCCAATTATTACTTTGATGGATTTTAAAAGATTATGAATTTTGAAATTCGAGAGGTGCCCACAAAATTTGTGATGGAATGTTTTGTATGAAGAAATTCATCAAAATCAATTAAAATCCATCCAAATAAGTAATACTCCTCGGTATTTTAAAATTCGCTACACTTTCCTATTGAGAGTGTATTTAAAAGTTTGTCACACTTTTCCTTTTTGATAATTATTTCCTTTAAATTTTTCAAAAAAAAATTATTTCCTTTAAAAATACTCAATTCTCCATATTTTTTTTCTATTTTTTTCATCTTCTCTTTCCTACTTTTCTATCTTCTCTCCTACTTTTTCTCCACTTTTCATTACCCCTACTATGCATCCCTTAAATATTGTGCCAAAGTCTAATGTGGTGACCTTTTAAATATGAAAGGAGTAATAGAAATCCACAAAATGTTTAGGAACACCATTATTTACATAGATTTAACAGAAATCCAAATGAGAGACACCCAAATTCTGACGGAATTCTAAACTCGATTAAAATTCTCCACAATTCATATTGGGGACACCCCCTTAGTTAGGGTAATTCTTGTTGTACGCAAAATCTATTCACAAATGTACATTGTTTATGTACATAGACATTTTGACAGATAATTTTGCTCTTTTTAAACGAATTACCCGTGTATACAAACAAATAGAAGTTGTGTGTAGAATTTATGTACTAATTATATGTACAAATGTAATTTTCCCTTTATTTTTAGGTAGAGTTTGATTTTGCACCCCACTTTTTGAATATATTAGACTTTGCATCTCATTTTAAAAAACTTCGACTTTGCACTCCATTTAGAAATTTTCCTTTACAAAATGTTATATGACAGGATGAAAAGTCAAAGTTTTTTTTAAATGAGATGCAAAATTTATATCATCCAGAAAGTGGGGTGCAAAGTCAAATTCTACCAAATTTTTTAGCTCATTCCATATCTCTTTTCCCTTGAGAAAACTGTCCTATAAGCCCTTTTACTATGTACCGAAAGTCAATTAAGTCCATTTACTTTAAAAACACCTAGTTAAGAGCATCTCCAATGCTACAATGCGCACGGTGCAGATGTGGCATGAGAGAGATAGACACAAAAGATTGATTTTATGTCATTTCTCTCTCCGTCTTTCCACGGTCTTATGTGTTTTTGGTAAGTTTTTTCCCGCAATGTCTACATCTAGACATTGTGAAGAAAAACTTACCAAAATGATATATAATATTAAAATAAGGAAAGATGTATTATATTTATTGTTTTTTTATTGGCTATTTCTTATATCACGTAAACCCATAAACTCAAGTTCGGTTAAGCCTTTTACTAGGTCCGGTAACCATCTCGTTTTCCGGTGGCAGCATATATGGCATTTCCTTTTTCTTTTTCCATTTATGTTTCTCTTTCCTTTTCCTTTCTCTCTTTCTTCTTCTTCTTTACGGCTCCAGCCGCCCCTTTTCTTTCTCGTAGTGGTCTCCTCTCTCAGAATTTGTATGAAATTAACTGGTGGAAGACGAGGGTAAATGGAGGACGACGACGTTGATGGTTACACTCCGACGGATTTTGGCGCCTCTTCTTCTCTGTTCAGACGGAGAATTTGAGAGGGGCGACAATGATGAACTCGTCGTAGATCGGAGCGGCAGAAGGTGACGGCATCTGCACTGCTCGAACGGAATCCCTCTTTTCCTCTGTTCGTTTCTTCTTTTGTCGGGTAGATTCCGGCTGTGACGAGATTTCCGGCGACATTGAGGACGACTCCGATGGGCAGTGCACTCCAATAGTGGAGACGGCGTCCATCGCCTTCATCTCTGCTCGATTCCCGACGAAGTTGCTCCTTGTTTGTTGGCTGACCGGGGTGAAGTTGCTCTGAAGAATGGGAGCAGTGTGCGTACAAGAAAGAAGGAAGAAACGAAGGGTGAGGCATACAATTCTTGAGGAAGAAAGAAAAGAAATGGAAAAAGAAAAGAGAAAACTAAAGGGAAAAAGAAAGAAAAATGAAATGTCATATGTGTCGACACGTGGTCCGTGAGTTGTTAACCAGGAAATGGGAGTTCCTATACCATACATCCGGCTGTACGACTTGCATCGTAAAATCAGGAGCAATTTTGTAATTTTGATGAAAATCACGATTTATCTCGAATGAACATTAATGCAATTTTGATGAGCATCATGTCTATATTTTTGAGTAATAGAAGCCTAAAATGAGTATCATGAAATCTGCTCCAAATCTTCTAATATAATTTTTTTATTTGTTTTAAAAAAATTTCTGAAATTATGTCTATAATTGATTTAAATTAAAAACTATATGCGGATTTAATGTAGTATAATAATTTTAAAATATGCATTATTAATATGTCATTTTAAAATGAGCATACCATTAATACCAAATGAGATATGAAAATCATAAGTTTTTTTTAGTTGAACATCAAGACATTTTCTTTGAACTTTAAAACTCTTCTATTTAGTATTAGGACACAATTGAGTATCGTTATCTTTCCTCATAGTATCAAATGAGCATACATAAGTTACAAAATGAGCATTTATGTATTGACAAATAAAATTACACCAAAGTAGTCTAGAAAAATCCAAAGCTGTATATCTCATTACAACTTTCGCAAAAATCAAAGGCAAACTATATTATTCCTAGCAAATAAAACATAAAACAATATAATTGAACTGTCCTCATAAAATTGCGTGAGATCATGATACCATTATAAATGAACATAAAACGCATTTCTAATGTGAATCTAATGTAGAATGATATGTTTGAAGTGTGAAACCTTTTAAAGTGAGTATAAAACAACACCAAGTGAGCATGCATAACTTACAAAATGAGTATCAAAAAATTTAAAAACGCATTTTTGTGTGCTCATTCATTTTGGACGTTATACTCATTTGAATTTAACATAAAACTCATTTCTATTGTACTCAATATGTGCTCAATATTCATTTGTGTATTGATATGACATTTTAAAATGAGCATAACACGAATATTAAATGAGCATACGTAACTTACAAAATGAGATATAGAAAAAGAAAACATTAATATCTAAAATATTTTATAATTGAATAAAGATTAAAATAAAAAAATTAAGAAAAAGAAAGAACTAAAGAAGGAAAAACGTAAAAGCAAGAAAAGAAGAATAGAAAAGACAAAAGAGAAAAACGTTTAATAGATCAGCAGCACCAAATCGGAAAAGCAAGGAAACAAAAAAGAAAAAAAAAAGAAAAACGGAAAAGGTGAAACCAATGAGCGCAGCTCAGATGCGGACTCGGCGATGGCCTGGGAGAAAGAATCAGGGCAGCGCAGATGCGGACGATGGACTGGGAGAAGTTGACAATAATTTCAAAAATACCCGATTGTACGATGATGATCGTACAACCGGGTGTACGGTATATTTTGTCGGAAACGGGATGGTTATCCAGTATAAGTCTTAATTGAGCATTTTTTAGAATTAGAGTGTTAAATTGCATGTTTTTAAAATGAGAAAGTTCCCGAAATAGGAGTAAAACAGTTTGAATATTCCAAAATAAGATGGTCATGTTTTTTATTCCCAAAATAGGACTAATTACTGTCATGTTTAGAAAATACTGCCATATTTGAAGTCTGGTACTGCCAAATCATGACAATAATTAGTCATCTTTTGGGAATAAAAACATGACAATCCTATTTTGGAATTTTCAAACTATTTTAGTCCTATTTCGAGTAATATTTTCTTTTAAATACTTGGATTTAATTGACTAGGTACGTAGTAGAGGGCTGCTTTTCTTTTCTTTTTAGGGAGAACTACCAAATAAGCTCTCGATGAAATGTTTTCGATGACATTTTTTGATGAAATGTTTTGAGCATCTTCTTCATTAAGTCTAGTTTACCCATACCAAATTTCAGCTAAAACTTCAATCGAGAAGGCAGTGAAATGATTTTCTGAAATATACTGCGCTGTTTAACCGTACAGTTATCTTCAAAGATTCATTTGGCTGCCTTCCTGATTGAATATTGAGCTGAAATTTGGTATGAGTAAACTAGACTTAATGAATAAAATGCTCCAAAAATTTCATAAAAAAATTCCACCGGAAACCGCTCTAAATGATGAAGACAGAACAGAACCTCTTATAGAAGGAGTGATTTACTCTTTTTAAGTAAATTGGAGGGCTTATTCGATACTTTGCTTCTTTCTATTTTTAGCATGTTTTTTAATTGTTCACCAGACCGGATAAGGTTAGTTAAGGCTGCTCTTTTCTGTCTCCATGTCAGTGGCTTAGCTTCCCGCTGCAGCCATGGCCGAAGCTTCTAGCTTTACCCCATCCACTCTCTTCCATTCTTTCCATCACTCACGCAGAATCCATTCTGGGCTCATCTGTCATGCATTCTTCACCAGAGGAAATCAAACACATGTCACCTTACGGTGTTCCTCTGTTTCTGCGAGGGTCACAGAACCCCAAAGACTCCCTTGGGGCTGCGACACCGACTCGCTCGAGAGCACTTCTCTTTTGCAGAAATGGCTGTCCGACTCTGGTCTTCCTCCCCAAAAATTGGCCATTCAAAGAGTGGATGTTGGAGAGAGAGGCCTAGTTGCTCTTGAGAAAATCAGGAAGGGAGAGAAACTGCTGTTCCTGCCACCCTCACTCGTTATCACCGCAGATTCGGTATTCTTACCAACTGATTCCTCACCATAAATACCTATTTTAACGTTTTCTGACCTGTAACTGTTAGTTGAGTAGATTGTTTACTATGCAATAGGAATTTGGGATTATTGTATGTGTTTGTAGATTTTAATTACAAGTTAAAAATTATGCGGAATAATTTGTAAGGATTTAATTTTAAAATTTTCTTATAGGAGTGGAGTGTCTCTGATGCTGGCCAAGTGTTGAGGAGTTACAAGGTGCCAGATTGGCCGTTGATAGCAACATATTTAATAAGTGAAGCAAGCCTGATGAAATCTTCAAGATGGGGAGACTACATCTCTGCCTTGCCTAGGCAGCCTTACTCACTTTTATATTGGTAATTTGTAAACACTTGCCTATTGTGATCATCCCTGAGAAAATTTTGTTTAGGATGAGTTTGGACTTTGGATGATAGTTTTTGGAGGGGAGATGTTTGAAGGAATATTTGAGATTTGAAAATTTTGAAGAAATAACATAACAGATTAACAAGTGGTCGTACAACATTGTAATAGTGCATTGGTCTGTATGGACACATTCTTTGGTTTCAATAAAAATCCATTTTTATTTTATAAAAATGTGATCATCTAACATTTCAAGCTCACTTTATTCTTTTTTCATAAAAAACATTCTACTCCGTATTTATCAAGGTATTGGTTTGGCAAGGGTTATTTGGCTGATATGGCATGACTGAATCTTTTGAGTTTTTCAAAAGGAAAAATGATTGATAAGATTCATTTCAGCCAAATGATTCAAAAGTTACTAAACCTTCTTTAAGCCTTCCCCTCCCAAACTTTTTAGACTCTATCCAAACTGACCCTTAGACATCAATGTTCCACCCACACCCCATTATTGTAAAGGTAAGTTCTGAGTTGGTTTTCTCCACAGCTTCTATACATCATTTCAGGACTCGTTCAGAGCTTGATAGGTATCTTGAAGCTTCGCAAATAAGGGAGAGAGCAATTGAAAGGGTCAATGATGTTGTTGGGACGTATGGCTTCTTTTATTGATCATTTAAGAAACTGGAATGTGGATATGATACTTTACAGAACATATATGTTTCTGATGTATATTCAATTCTTTGCTAATATGTTCTCCGTTTTTCCATTTTCTTGCAGGTACAATGACCTGAGGCTCAGAGTATTTTCCAATCATCCTGAATTATTTCCTGAAGAGGTACTTTGTATAGAATGGTAACACTTTTATTCAATATTTGAATTTTGAATGATATCTATAACTAGTTTTATTTTTTGTCTAATAGAAAAGAAATTTAGTCCCCTTAATTACTAGCTCAAATGATTTTCAATAGGTCTTTAACCTAATCATGTGAAAACTAAAAGAAAGTTAGTCTGTTTGATGATTCTACTTCGAAAGGTTTATCAATTTGTGCCTATAATCCTGTTTTAGTGTTAACTAAAATTTTCAAGCAGAGATGTTGGTTTTAAGAAGTCCATTATCTTGCCGATCTCATAGTATTGAAAGAACATAGTCTCTGTTATAGTAGAATGTTGTAAGAATTAAAGATAGAATAGTAATGAGAAGAATGATTTTTTGTGTGTATTTCATTGGAGGGTCAAGCCCATATATATACATTACAAAGATAGAATATTCCTTTAAGATTCTATACAATAATAATATCCTAGAGTATATTCCTAAAATATTCTAAAGCATATTCTAAAGATAGAAGAATATTCTAAAACATATTCTAAAGAATATTCTATAATGTCTTTCACACTCCTCCTCAAGTTGGAGCATAAATATTTATCATGCCCAACTTGTTACATAAGTAACCAACACGAATTCCATTTAGTGCTTTAGTGAACAAATCTCCAAGTTGCTCTCCAGTCTTCACATGTCCTGTAGAGATCAATCCTTGTTGTATCTTTTCTCGAACAAAGTGACAATCGATCTCAATATGTTTTGTTCTCTCATGAAACACTGGATTGTTGGCAATGTGTATAGCAGCTTGGTTATCGCACCAGAGTTTAGCAGGCATTGGTGTCTTCAATCCCATTTCACTCAATAAATGGTTTATCCAGATTATCTCACATGCCGATTGTGCCATAGCCCGATATTCTGATTCAGCACTCGAACGAGAAACCACATTCTGCTTCTTACTTTTCCAAGAGACGAGATTACCACCAACAAAGACGCAATAGCCAGATGTGGATCTTCTATCATCTTTAGATCCAGCCCAATCAGCATCTGCAAAGCATTCTATTCTCATGTGATTATGATTCTGATAAACAATACCTCGTCCCGGTGTCCCCTTCAAGTAACATAATATATGCTCTACAGCATTCCAATGATCCACTGTCGGAGATGACATGTATTGACTTACTACACTCACTGAGTATGCAATATCTGGACGGGTAACTGAGAGATAATTAAGTTTTCCAACCAACCGTCTGTATCTTTCCGGATCTTCGAATGGCATACCTTCATGAGTGAGTTGTACATTGGGAATCATGGGAGTACTGCTTGGTTTTGCCCCCAATTTCCCTGTTTCAGTTAGTAAGTCAAGCACATATTTACGTTGAGATAGAAATATGCCTTTCTTACTCCGTGTAACCTCAATTCCCAAGAAGTATTTCAATGAGCCCAAATCTTTCGTCTGGAATTGACTATGAAGAAAATTCTTTAGGGCCAAAATACCTTTATTATCACTCCATGTAATCACAATGTCATCGACATACACCACAAGCAATGTAATACCTGTTTTCGTTTGTCTGTAAAATACAGAGTGATCTGATTTGCCTTTTATCATCCCAAATCGTTCAATTGATTGGCTGAATTTCCCGAACCATGCACGGGGACTCTGTTTCAAACCATAAAGAGACTTGCGAAGTCGACAAACTTTCCCATACTCCCCCTGAGCAACAAACCCCGGAGGTTGCTCAATATAAACTTCCTCCTGAAGATCACCATGCAAGAATGCATTCTTAATGTCCAATTGATGTAAGTGCCAACCATGAGTTGCTGCGAGAGAAATAAGTAATCTGACAGATGTTAATTTAGCAACTGGAGAAAATGTGTCAGAATAATCAACGCCATAGGTTTGAGCATAACCCTTCGCAACTAATCGGGCTTTCAATCGAGCAACGGATCCGTCAGGGTTAACCTTTACAGCAAAGACCCACTTACATCCTATAGACTTCTTCCCTGTAGGCAAGTCTACCAAATCCCAGGTACCATTAAGATCCAAAGCATTCATTTCCTCTACCATGGCATGACGCCAATCAGGATGAGACAAAGCATCTTTAACAGATTTGGGAACAAAAATAGAATCAATGGAAGCAATAAAAGAACACGAGGCAGATGATAACTGATTATACGACACACATGAAGAAATAGGATGAGTACAATACCGTGTACCTTTACGTAGTGCGATGGGGAGATCAAGATCTGACGTAGAGACAGGATCTGAAGATGCAGGTGTCGGTTCAGGATATGAGATCGGATCAGTATCAGGAGAAGTAACCACAGGTGGAGGGTGATCTTGCACTTTGTGTCGACGGGTGTATACCAAGTGTATCGGAGGCCTAGGCTCAGGAAAAGTAACATGGGGAAGAACTGCTGAAGTATTGGACTCGGGTATAGTGACTGTGTAAATGAGTATATCATCATTCTCCCTACAGATATTTGTGTCTGTTGATGAAAATGGTGTATTTTCATAAAAGGAGACATCAATTGAAACAATATACCGACCTGTACTTGGAGAAAAACATCTGTACCCCTTTTGAACTCGAGAGTAGCCTAAGAAAATGCACTTTAATGACTTGGGATCTAACTTTGTTAAATGGGGATTAACATCTCGTACAAAACAAGTGCAACCAAAAACTTTAGGAGGAATAGGAAAATTTTCATTATTTGGAAATAGGCACTGATATGGAGTTTTACCATCTAAAACAGTAGATGGCATTCGATTGATCAAAAAACATGCGGTAGACACAGCATCTGCCCAAAAATGTTTTGGCACATTCATTTGGAATAGAAGAGCCCGCGCAGTTTCTAATAGATGTCTGTTCTTTCGTTCAGCAACTCCATTTTGGGGAGGTGTGTCTACACATGAAGTTTGATGAATTATGCCATGTTGAGCCATATACAACTTAAATGAGGCAGACAAATACTCTTGAGCATTGTCTCCCCTTAAAATACGAACATGTACATTAAATTGAGTTTTGATTTCAGCACAAAAGGCACAAAAATGAGAAAATAACTCGGAACGACGTTTCATGAAATAAATCCAAGTCATACGAGAATAATCATCAACAAAGGTAACAAAATATTTAAAACCAGATTTGGACACAACAGGGCAAGCACCCCAAACATCAGAATGAACCAGTTCAAAAGGAGCATGTGCTCGTTTATTGACTCGAGGACTTAGACTACTTCGATGATGTTTTGCAAATTGACACGAATCACACTGTAAAGATGACACCTTATTGAATTGAGGATAAAGCTTCTTTAACAACGGAAGAGAAGGGTGACCTAGTCGATAGTGAGCCTCTAACACAGTTCCAATGCCAAGACAAGAGATTGATTTGGGTAAGGATGTATCCAAGAGATAGAGACCGGCCGACTCATATCCTTTACCAATAACCTGATTCGTCAACAGATCCTGAAATACACAATATCCAGGAAAAAAGGTTACGGAACAATTAAGTTTACGTGTGATTTTGCTGATCGAAATCAAATTGAAAGCAAAATTTGGAAGACTTAGGACGGGTGACAAAGGTAAGGTAGATGTTGGGACAATTGTACCCGTACCAAGAACGGGTGACGTAGATCCGTCAGCCAAAGTCACACTAGAAGAATGAAGAGGTGTGTGGAATGAGGAAAAAAGACTAGGATTACCTGTCATATGATCTGTTGCTCCTGAATCGATAACCCATTTTGAGGATGAAGATACAAGACATGTGTTTGGATTACCTGAATTAGCTACAGCTGAGATAGGAGTAGATGAATGCTTTAGAGCCTCCTGGTAACCTAGGAATTTGGCATATTCCTCCGAAGACATAATGATGGATCCATTAGATGGCTGTGTAGCGGAAGCAATGTGAGCGACTTGATTTCCTTGAATTTTGAACTTTAGCTTTCGACAATCTTTGATCAAGTGTCCGAGTTTCTTACAGTAGTTGCATACTACTCCTTTGCCAATCGGTCCTGTGCGTGGCCACTTCTCACCTCCATTGGGGAATGTTGGGACTTGTCCTACAAAAGCATTGCTTGGCTGAGGTGCTGATGATGTGGATGAAGTGTCAGTGCGAAGCACTCTACTGAAAGCATCTTGAAGAGAAGAGACCACATCACTAGATAGGATATGTGATTTGGCTGTTTCAAAATCAGACGTAAGACCAGCCAAAAAGCTCATGACTGCCATTTGTTCGCGTTGTTTCTGCTGCACTTTGATATCAGGACTAAAGGGCATTAAGGTATTAAGTTCTTCATACGTTTTCTTGAAATCCATAAAATAAGCTGTGAGAGGCTTATCTTTCATTTCTGCCCTGTAAAAGGCTTTGCACACCTCATAGATGTGGTTAAGATTACCTTTGCCAGAATACATAAATTCCAAATAATCAAAGAGTTCTTTCACAGTATCACAATGACTAACATACCCCATGACGTCATTCTCCATGGAGTTCTGAATCTGGATAAATAATCTAGAATCATCACGAAGCCATACAGCATTAGCAGCTCTATCAATCTCCTCCTTTGGCGGGTCATCAACTAAGTGGGTGTATTTATCAATGCTTCGTAAATAACGTTTGATAGTTTTACTCCATTCAAGATAGTTAGAGCCACAAAGTTTATTCTCAGTAATTTTAAAATTAATGGGAATAACTTCGGAAACTACCAAAGGCTGAGCATGTTGTACGGTGGAAGTGTCTGTATCAGAACCAGGCATTTTTTTTTTTGATTTTTTTCTTTTTTTTTTTTGACTTTTTTTTTTGACTTTTTTTTTTAATTGCAGAAATAAGATGCTATGTATTAGGTAAACTTACAGCGACCAAAATACTATCCTTGAATGTCGTTGTTACTTGATAAGCAAAGTCACAGAAAGATAATACCGTTCAAGACACCGGAAAATAGTTCCGATGTATTCTCCGGCGATTGGGTCTGCGATTAGGTCTGCGAGGTCCTCTGACGGCGCGTGTGGCCTGCGGATTTCGAGTGTAAGGTCGGCGGCGGAGGGCGTGACTGCTTAGGGTGGAGGTGATGCTATTTGAAACTGTGGATTTTGGACTGAGGTTCTGAATTTTGGGCTAAGGTTCTGGCTGAGGCATGAACTGAGATTCTGAAAAATACTGCTAAGCTAAACTGGAATAGATTGCTCTGATACCATGTTGTAAGAATTAAAGATAGAATAGTAATGAGAAGAATGATTTTTTGTGTGTATTTCATTGGAGGGTCAAGCCCATATATATACATTACAAAGATAGAATATTCCTTTAAGATTCTATACAATAATAATATCCTAGAGTATATTCCTAAAATATTCTAAAGCATATTCTAAAGATAGAAGAATATTCTAAAACATATTCTAAAGAATATTCTATAATGTCTTTCACATAGAATATGGGTGTCAATTAAGTCTTCGTTTGGCAGCCATATCTGAGTAGAATAACTAGCTTTTGAGTTATTTGCTGAAATAAATATCACCAAATGCTTTTCCTTTCAGAAAGTTCATTAAAATAACTTACCAAGTATGCCTTATATGTCACTGTTTTAAACAAGAAAGTATTAATAGTACACCATACACTATTGCATTGTTTATTTTCCTTTGTTGTGCACAATGTTTTGTAATGACACTAACTCAAGCGTATTTATGGGACTAATGATGGATGTTGAAATGTCATCGGTTGATGAATCAGTAGGGTCCTTAGCAGCTGCTGAGAGTTGGAGTTTTTAAGGGTTGTAGGGAAGTTGCAGAAACTCAGATAATTTCCACCTGCATTTTCAAACCATTCAAAACTAGAATGACTTTTAATTCAGAAGCTTGATTATTGTATTTTTCACCGTAATCACCCTATGTAAGTGACTGCTATATGCTAAAGGAATTTTATGGGAAAAATACTGAGAACTGATTTCTTCTTTCTCTCTTTTCTCCTCTGTCTTATATTTATCTTACCCCCTCCCCACAACTGCTTCTTTGGGGTTTTTTGAGGGGTGGCCGGGTTTGGATTCATTTTTGTTTTACTATTTTATCTTTTTTCGTTAGTCTTAACTAGAAAATAACTATATGCATAGTTAAATCATGTATTGTTATTTTTTTTGCCTTCACTTTCTTTCGTACCATCTAAACTGCCAAACTTAAGAAAAATTAATAAAATAAATATCACCCCTCCCCTCCCCTCCCTCAATCGTTGGTTGCACTTCTCTTGAGTTGAAGTTAGACAAATTATACTTTTTTATGATATGTACTGTTTTTGTAATAATGCTTCAGGCTGTCTCACTAAGTCAAATACATGTCCCACATTATTGCAGATATTCAATCTGGAAACCTATAAATGGTCATTCGGCATCCTCTTCTCACGTTTGGTGTGAATTTGACGTTTAACTCTGATTGGATTATTACTAAAGTTGACAGCTACCTTAAAACAAGATTGCTGATTGCAGGTCCGTTTACCCTCAATGAATGGAAGGGTCACACTAGTACCTTGGGCAGACATGCTGAACCATAGTTGTCAGGCATGTGAAGTCTAAGTTGTGATAAATATTAGTAACTGTGATATACTAGTGTACTACAAAATCCTATTCTTATGTCTATGAGCTTCATATAATTTGTCAAGGTGGAAGCATTTCTGGATTATGATAAATCATCACGAGGAATTGTGTTCAGAACTGATAGGGCATATGAGCAAGGTGAACAGGTACACCCACTCCTCTTGTTGTTGGCACGATAACTAGTTGGATTATTCACCATCCAGTACTTTACTAGTTTTTTCCATCATTTCCAATGGAGCCAAAGACTCACTAGTTTTTGGCTTGAGAATATGATGGAATAAAGCAAAATGGCTCAATATTGTCTGCGCTTCTTTGTTATGAAGCAACACAAAGTCCATGCCATTTTCGATGCGATTTTCATCATGGGTCATGGGTCATCCGGATCCGGAAACAGTCTCTCTGTTTTTTAGTACAGGGGTAAGACTGCGTGCATCTAACCCTCCATATCCCACCGTAGGTGGGAGCCTTTGCAGCACTTGGGTAATGTTGTTGTTGGTGTTGGTGTTGTTGTTGTTTTAGTAGTAATTTACTAGCTTCATCAGTCATTAAGCCGTCATCTCATTAGTAATCAACTTGTACACTCCCTTGGGCATAGGTCCTTGTTGGTTTATGCACGTTGGAACTTCTAAACCAAACAACTCTTGGGAACTTTTCCTATTGTTAAATAAGATGATGATTACAAGTCGATCACAAAATTGAAGTTAAGACGTAGCCCAACAATTACAATTACCAAAGACCCCAAGTATAATGACCAGGAGCGGAGCCAGGGCACTGGGCCGGTACAAAGAATTTTTTTTTACACTAAAAATAAAGACATTTTCTAATTTGGGGTGGACCAAGGCCTATGTTGGCCCTCCCCTAGCTCCACGCTTGATAATGACGATGACTAACATAACATACTCTACATGTAATGGCAAAGCTGGACTCTGATGGAGAGTAAAGAGGATCGATAAAATAAGGGAAAGTCTAATGAAGTGAGGAGGCCACTATATTTCTAAGTTCAAAGTTAAACGTTTCGTTCATAGGGTATTTTAGGTTCCACTGGATCTATTTTGGAAGTTGGATTTAGCCAATTAACAGATTATGAACTTAAACTAGATAAAAGTTGCTAAAGGTTGTAGAAATTGAAATGTCATGCATCTACACATTTGAATAGTCAAAGCATAAAACATGATAAATATATCAAATACTAAAAATTAAAAGCTATTAATAAGATAAAAGCTAGTATAGTACTCGTGTGATGCACAAGATTTTTTCTTAGTCTTTTTTGTAAAATTTAGACAAAAGAATGAATATGTCTGTGTTGTGTAGTCCAAAATAAATGAAAAAAAGTGAAAAATAGAATCATATGGAGAACTATACATTTCATTTTGACACTTGCAATAGTATGAGATCACAAATATTACAACTACTATATTGAATGATAGTTGAAATTTGTTGTTTTGATTAAAACAAAAGGTGCAATAGCTAAATGTAAATTGATAAATAAATATAAAAGTTGTTTAGAAGTAATTATATTTAAATATAATATTTTCCGATTTGGTTTGATTTGTTGTGTTTATGTATAGTCCAGTCTGAACGGGTCTGTTACTCTGCTAAATATCTTTTTTATGCATATTTAACTATAGTTTGAGCCTGATCTAATCAGTTCAAATCTGATCGGGTCTAGTCTAGGACCGAATTAGTCCAACTAAAAAGTGTCTAATTCTTATTGTACCGATCTACAATTTCAAATCCATCATGTTAAGCACGGTTGGGCCTTGGTAATCATTGTATTTAGTTAGCAATTGTTTTTAGTGTACATTTAATGGACTGCGGCCTTCTTTTAGAATAGGGGTGTACACATACCTTGTATAAATATTGATATCATGAATAAAGTCAAACACAGGAAAATTTACCCATATTCATACGAAATCAAACATGGTATCAGAGCCCCTAGCGTGCGGAAAACGCTAGCCTTGGTCATCTCCTTCGTCGAAACGAGCAGTAGCAGCACCAGCGTGCAGAGCACTGCCAGTCAGCTATGGGGGATGACACTACACCGCGATTGGACCCAACCTCTCCGTATTATTTGAGCTCTGGAGATCAACCTGGCAATCTCATAACCCACGTAATTCTCAATGGCGAAAATTACGTTGCGTGGTCGAGAGCTTTTAGCCTATCGCTGAACGCACGCCGGAAGTATGGCTTTATCGACGGCACGATCCGGAAACCTACTGAAGCGGCTAAGATACTTGATTGGTACACGGTTAACTCGATGATAGTCTCCTGGATACTGAGGAGTATGGATTCGAGCGTGGCAGCCTCAATCCCCTTTCATGACGTAGCACGGACGCTGTGGCGGTACCTAGAAAAGCGCTTCAGTGAGGCGAATGGACCTTGCCTGCAGCAGCTACGGACCTCGATTGCCAATTGTAAACAAACAAAAACAATGACTGTTGATGCCTATTTCACTGCCCTCATGGGGTTGTATGACGAATTGAATCGCTTAAAGCCGCTGCATAATTGTACGTGCCGAAATTGTACGTGTAACGTGGCAGCCAAGTATGCAGCCGATAGGGATGAAGAACAACTTCATCAATTTCTAATCGGAATTGATGATGAAGTTCATGCAACAGTTCGATCCAATCTGTTGTCTCAGACTCCGTTGCCCGATCTAGCACGCGCGCATCAGGCCTTTCTCCAAGAAGAACGCTCACGAGCAATTGCACGTGGGAAGGGCATCGCGAGTGCTGCTGATATCCAGGCTTTTGCAGTGAAAACCGGACAAGGCAGAAAAAGCTCGCCTTTCTTTTTCACATTGCAAGCAGCGGGGTCATGACGTGAGTGCATGCGTCAAACTGCACGGCTATCCGAAATGGTGGGAAGAGCGTAACCGGAATAAAAATGGGGCAGTGGATCGTACCCCGGTGCCAGGAACGACTCTGCCGGCAGCAGGTTCACATGGTCAAGGAGTGGCACGGGCACATGCAGTGACCTCGCTGGTCGGTCCTCAAGTTGCTGTCCCAGAATCTTCTCATATTGGCAACAACGACTATAACCTGTTGCAGGAATTGAGTAGGGAACATGTTCAGACACTTTTACATATGATTAATGCAGAAACACGTTCCACAGATCGCATGTCCGGTAAGTGTGGTTCTCTTGACTGGATAATAGATACCGGTGCATCTCATCATGTAACGGGTGAATTGTTTCGTCTTACTGATGTTGATAATATTTATAATTGTGCGGTGGGATTGCCTGATGGGCGCACGGTCTTTGCCACTATGGAGGGCCGTGTCCATCTTTCCAAAGATCTTGTTCTTAATAATGTGCTTTATGTTCCCAAATTGAATTGTCATCTTATTTCAGTCTCTCAGTTGACTGGAGATTCTCTGTGTGCTATACAAGACCTACACTCGAGAAACCTGATTGGAGCCGGTGAGAAAAGGGATGAGTTATTTTTCTTCCGACGTGCCCCTACGTTGCATGCTGTGGAAGTTTTTGGTTTAACGGATTTCGAGTTATGGCATCGCCGGTTGGGCCATCCATCAGACCGGGTCCTTAAATTACTTCCTGCTATTAGTTCTAGTGCTTTTAGAAAATCCCTTAATAAAGCTTGTGTGATATGTCCGCAAGCCAAACAAACTCACGATTCTTTTCCTACTAGCAATAATAAAGCAAGTCATATTTTGGAATTAATTCATTGTGACTTGTGGGGTCCTTATAATACCACTTCCAGTTGTGATGCCATTTATTTCTTGATTATTGTGGATGATTACTCTAGAGCTGTATGGGTTTATTTATTACATGACAAGAAAGAGGTGTACAAATATTTTGTCTCATTTTTTCTATGATCCGGACACAATTTGCAGCAGTTGTTAAAATTTTTCGTAGTGATAATGGGATTGAATTCAAGTGCATGCACCCTTATTTTACTGAGCATGGTATCTTATTTCAGAGCTCATGTGTAGAGACACCTCAACAGAATGGACGAGTCGAACGTAAACATCGACATATTTTAAATGTCGCTCGTGCATGAATGTTTCAGGCCAATGTTCCTATACACTTTTGGGGTGAATGTGTTCTGTCAGCGATTTATTTAATTAATCGCACCCCCTCTGGATTGCTTGGCGGGAAAACCTCATATGAGGTACTTACTGGTTGTACTCTCAATTTTAGTCATTTGCGGGTCTTCGGTTGTCTTTGTTTTGCTCATAACAAGAAATCTAAGGGTGACAAATTTATTCTGCGTAGTAAGAAATGTGTATTTGTTGGCTATCCTCATGGTCAGAAAGGATGGAAGGTGTATGATATGGACACCGGTGATATATTTGTTTCTCGTGACGTTAAGTTTCATGAAAATGAGTTTCCTTTTTCCATTGGGACCGAAGAAGTGACAAACCCAACCGTATCAGTTGATGCTCCGGTTATTACTGATGATGACGTGCCTGCTCTTGGTCAGCACAACACTACTGCTACGGATGAGAACTCGGGTGCTCCACCACCGGACACTACTTTCCAGGTTGATGCCGCGGCATATGTACCGCCTACCCCTGCAGCAGATAATTTACTTGGACGAGGACAGTGTGCTAAACGTACGTCTATCCTCCTTCGCGACTTTGTTACACATCACGTTCGAACGAAGACCCCATCCCTATCTCCTCCTGCCTCATCAGGTTACTCAGGTATGTCCTATCCTATAGCTCACTATGTGAATTGTGATAAGTTTTCTTCACGTCATCGGGCGTTTCTTGGAGCTATTTTCGCAGGTCTTGAACCCCGGTCTTTTAAGGAAGCTATGACTGATGCCGGATGGAGGCGGGCCATGCAGAGTGAAATACGTGCTCTGGAAAATAATAATACTTCGATTCTGGAACCTCTACCTCCAGGTAAAAAGGCGCTCGGGTGTAAGTGGGTTTACAAAATTAAGTATCATTCTGATGGCACGGTTGAGCGACTCAAAGCTCGGCTGGTTGTTTTTGGCAATCATCAGGAGGAAGGTATTGATTACACTGAAACGTTTGCTCCTGTGGCTAAAATGGTCACAGTTAGGGCATTTTAGCGGTTGCTGCCGCCAAAAACTGGGAGCTGCATCAGATGGACGTACATAATGCGTTTTTGCATGGGGATTTGGATGAGGAAGTTTACATGAAGCTTCCTCCTGGCTTTCATCCTACTCAGCCTGGAGTTGTTTGTAGGTTGAAAAAATCTTTGTATGGGCTGCCGCAGGCTCCTCGATGTTGGTTTGCCAAGCTAGCCGCCTCTCTTCGACATTTTGGGTTTCGCCAGTCGTATTCTGATTATTCCCTATTTACCTTCCGACAAGGCGGAACACATCTGAATGTGCTTATTTATGTTGATGATTTCATTATTGCTGGCAATGATTCTTCTGCCCTAATCAATTTTAAAAAATACTTGAGCGAGTGCTTTCGTATGAAGGACTTGGGTGTTCTGAAATATTTTCTCGGCGTCGAAGTGGCGCGTAGAGAAAGAAAATATACCCTTGATATTATTTCCGAGACTGGTTTGCTTGGTGCTAAACCTGCTGGGTTCCCCATCGAGCAAAACCATACACTGGCTTTGGCATCTGGTCCTTTGATCTTTGACCCTGAGTCATATCGCCGACTTGTTGGACGTCTAATCTATCTATCATTCACCCGTCCTGACTTGGCTTATGCGGTGCATATTCTCTCTCAGTTCATGCAAGCCCCACGCCAACCACATTGGGATGCGGCACTTCGTGTTGTTCGTTACTTAAAAGGGTTCTCCTAGTCAAGGTATTCTTCTGAATTCCTCTTGTAATTTGACCTTGACGGGGTGGTGTGATTCTGACTAGGCCAGCTGTCCACTTACTCGCCGATCTCTCACTGCATGGCTTGTATTTCTTGGTTCTTCTCCCATCGCTTGGAAGACCAAGAAACAACAGACGGTGTCTCGCTCCTCGGCCGAGGCCGAATACCGTTCCATGGCAGCCCTTACGGCAGAATTAAAATGGCTTAAGAGTCTTCTTCTTAGTCTCGGTGTTGCCCATCCTCGGGCTATGTCATTGTTCTGTGACAGCAAGTCCGCCCTTCATATCGCCCAAAACCCCGTCTTTCATGAGCGTACGAAACACATCGAAGTTGATTGCCATTATGTTCGGGACGTCATACATGAGGGACTGATTGCCACCAAACATGTTTCGACTACCGAGCAACTAGCTGATATATTTACGAAGGCTTTGGGAAAACGGCAATTCCTCTATCTTCTTCGCAAGTTGGGCATTTACAACCCGCATGCTCCAACTTGAGGGGGGTGTTAAGCACGGTTGGGCCTTAGTAATTATTGTATTTAGTTAGCAATTGTTCTTAGTGTACATTTAATGGGCTGCGGCCTTCTTTTAGAATAGGGTTGTACACATACCTTGTATAAATATTGATATCATGAATAAAGTCAAACACAGGAAATTTTACCCATATTCATACGAAATCAAACACATCACTTGAGCCCCTATATTTTAAAAAGTATCACATAAGCACGATTATTTTGAAAACACAACCAATCCAACCAGTAGCATATCCAAGAATTTTTTCAAGGGGGTCGAACTTGCACTTATATACTACGTATCTCACATTTCATTATCGGTGGACCACATTATAAATAATATAATCTAAAATCAACCAAATAACAAACTATTTGTTCTATCAGTTTAAATCTGATCGGGTCTAGTCTAGGGCTGAATTAGTCCAACTAAAAAGTGTATAATTCTTATTGTACCCATCTAGAATTTCAAATTCATCACTTGAGCCCCTATATTTTAAAAAGTATCACATAAGCATGATTATTTTGAAAACACAACCAATCCAACCAGTAGCATATCCAGGATTTCTTGAGGGGGTCGAACTTGCACTTATATACCTCATATTTCATTATTGGTGGACCACATTATAAATAATATAATCTAAAATCAACCAAATAACAAACTATTTGTTCTATAAGAATATTATGCTACCATACTTTATTTACTTTTCACCCAAAAACTATCTTCACATTTCTTTTAAAGAAAATACTTCGCGGTTGATATAATTTCAATTTCACGAAACACATTTTAATCACATAATTTATAATAAATTAACATATTCCTATAAATGATGAATGAAAAAATAAGGAACAAGTGAAGTATGTATTAATTTATCAAAAACATTTGTTTATATTATTTGCAATGATGTAATTGTAAGTACTTATCAACTCTGTAGTAAAATAAAGTTCTGATTATCTTAAGTTATTTTAAACTTTTTATAAGGTGTTTAAGTGCAAAAGTAAACAAAATTAGAAGATGAAGTCAAACATTCTCATTTAACTTTATCAGACATTCTCATTTAATTGCATAGCTTATGGGATTTTTACCAAACATTCTCATTTACTTCTTGATGTACATCTGACCTTTCGAGTTACATATCGCAGGTTTTTATATCATATGGAAAGAAGTCTAATGGAGAGTTGTTGCTTTCATATGGATTTGTCCCTAGAGAAGGAACCAATTCTAATGACGCAGTTGAGTTGTTAGTCTCAATTAACAAGTATGATAAATGTTACAAGGAGAAATCAGAAGTCTTGAAAAAGTACGGGTTATCCACGTGAGTATTTGATTGGTAGTTCTCAGCCTCATCTATGTGTGGAATTATTGCTACCTAATTAAAATAGTTTTGATTTCAATGTGTCTTGATACCCTCTTTTTTAATTTTTACCCTGTTTTTAAAATATATGAACAGAAGTTGCAATTTTATGTACTTAATAGATCAGAAAGATTTCCTGTACAAATTACTGGGTGGCCTTTGGAGTTGATGGCGTATGCTTATCTAGCCGTCAGCCCCCCAAGTATGAATAGACAATTTGAAAAGGTATGACAGATTTAATTATGCAAGCAATAAGTTATTATTGGTATTTGAGATTACTCTGAAAAGAGAATTATTCCAGATGGCTGCTGCTGCTGCATCAAACCAGGCTCCATCTTCCAAGAAGGATATCAAGTATTCTGAAATAGAGGAAGATGCACTGCAGTTAATTCTTGATAGTTGTGAGTCTGGCATATCAAACTACTCCAAATTCCTTCAGGTAATAACCACACTGTCTTCTATTCTCCCACATAATGTAAATAAATACTTACAGCTCGTGTGGTACATGGATATGAATGTAGTGGTAATAGAACACAAATTTCATGGAAAGGAGTGTGGGGGGTGAGTTCCGCTGTTTAGTAGAAAAGAATGAAATTACTTGGGAATAATTATTCTATTGTTTGGTAACATTTTGAATAGAGAGGGAGACAATACGAATAGTGTGGCTAAAGACCAAAGTGCCCTTTTGATGGAATAAGTAGGGAATAATGAGTAGGGTGGAAAATAATGTAATTGTGAGGGGGCATTTGTGCCCAGGTGACTCCTTTTTCGTCTGGATATGAAAAACACAGTGCCATAGGACCCCATGGGTAATCATTGTTCAAATTTTGAGCAAAATAATCTCCAAACAAAAAAGGAAGACATGCACATGGGAGTAATTTTGTCTTTGGGGGATGTCCCCGATATGGATTGTCAAGGATTTTAATGGAATTTAGAATTCCATCAGAATTTTGGTGTCCTCAATATGGATTTGTATGGAATCTATGAAAATATGGGTGTTCTCATACATTCAATGGATTTCACTTATTATTTGTTTGGATGGATTTTAAAGGATTTTATTGGAATTATAAGTAGAAAACATTCTACGAGAAATCTTGCCTTTACCCCTTGGATTTCAAAATGTTAGAACTCTGCAAATTCTACAGCTAATTCACAGAAATCAACAAGAACGTAACTGCAAACTTTTATTAACAAAGCTACAATGGCCGAATCTCCCAAATGAGCCGAAGCCCCCCAAAAGAGAGAGAATGATCTCAATCTTCCCAGAAAAGAGAAAAGACTAAACAGTCAATACCAGCCTATCCACAATATTCAGCTTACTACTATTTATAGTAAGTATGTAACTCCTACTAACCGGAAACAGTTATTAGCTAACAACAACTTTAACTAATAACTAACTCTACTTCTTTCTAGAATATACTTTGCCAAAGTATTTATTTTCTCTCCTCGGTTTAGTAGAGTCTCTAACAATACTCCCTCCCTAAACATCCACCTTGCCCTCAAGGTGGGTGGTAGGAGACGATTGAGATCTTGTGTTTCCTCTTCATCCTTGCACCTCTTCCTTCCCAATACATAACTAATTGCAGGAGCATGAACTTCATTGCCCGAAGAACGCACTGATGATTGGGATCTCTGTAATTGTTTTGTTCCTCATAACCAGATGGTGCTGTTTGACCTTTCCCTTCAATATCCTTCTCTGGATGTATTGGCTGCGAATTGATCACACTGCTAGTACTGATATTCATGAAAATATTGTGTCCATGCCTGGTTAAACACAGAGCAAATTCTTCCCTAAATTCGTATGAGGTTCCATCTTCCGGGTTCACAGTATTTTGATGAACATCCAAAGATGCCTCGCAGCTTACAAATTCCACAACCAGTTTGGCATTGACAAGCAAAAAGAGAGCTGCACATTGATACCCCGCACCACTTGGGAAAAGAAAAACTTCAATGTTGGGTCCCTTGATTAAGTGTAATCTTGTTTTCTCAGGGATAGAGCTCAGCCTGTAATAGTGAATTTGGCCAGATTCTTTACCATTAGCAGCACTCAAAGAATTAGTGATGGAGTCTATTTTCTTTAGATCTTCCACAATATAAACAGAAGAATGAATTCTTGATGCGTGTGTAAACAGTTTTCCAATCAGCCCATTAGAGAAGAATTTCTGAAACCTCTTTGCTTCCCTGACTGGGTTTGCATCCAACTTTATTAACCCAAGTGAGGAGAAAGAAGCCATAACTACTCTTCCCGGCAAATCTGGTTCCACTTCTATATTCCAACATCTTCACCTATCTTGGTTTTCATTAAACGAACACTAGTGGAACATTTCACTTCTGAATCATTGGAACCTAAGACCATTTTGTAAGGTTGGAAATTTGCTTCAGCTTCCACTCCATTGACAGTAGCCTGAATAGTAGGATCCAGGACCACACTGATTTTATAAAATTGGTATTCAAGAGTAAACTCATCAGCCCATTTCAGTCCATAATTAGAAGAGTCCCAATATGCATAAAGTATCAAACTGCCCCCCTCAACTGCTATCCTAGGTTTGACATATGAGAGAGTGAAGATTGAACCTTCAGTTGCACTAATCTGTGGATCATTCTTCCCCAACTGTTTTGCTAAGGCACCCTGGAATGACACATCACCTTCACCCTTAATTTCTTGGTCCTGACTGTCAGCATCAATAACAGACTTCTCCATCATTCTTCTATAAGTAATTTTGTGAACCATGTTACACCTTTTCCAATGCTCACCTCTTTTCCAGAAAATCTTGGTCTCTGTACCAGCAATTGCCATATGAGACGGTATGTCACAACCCACACCTCCATCTAGCACAATAATACCCACTGTTGACAGCCCCCAAACTTTTTTAACTTCTGTTACGGCATCTGTGAAGACACCCGGAATGAGATCCTGGAAATTCTTGATGGGCTCGTACTTGAGAAAACGAGTAATTGCTCCAGCTTCATGTCCAAAGGTTAACTAAAGATTTCTCATAGCATTCCTCTTCGCTATAGGTGTATGAATCTTCCGTGGACGATTGCTGCTGATTAACCAACTCAGTTAGAGAGTTCGAACTGGGGTTTCGGTTAGAGTCGAAGCCAGAGAACCAGAAGAATTTGGCAACTGCAATGAACCTTTGCTTTTCGAATTCATGCAGCGACGCACAGTCCTCGATCCTCCTCGCTGGTGACGTTGCCGCAGCTTGGTGCACACTTCGTCCAACCCTGTCCTCGTTACCTTGCTCTTCGCACGCTTCTCCTTCTCCAGGTGTGAGCGCTTTTCCTTTTCTAGGGTTGAGTGCTTCTCTTTCTCCACTTTTCTGCGCTCAACCTTTTCTGCGCTCGACCTTTTCTGCAAGCTTCCCCAATTTTCCGCGCGAATCCTCTCGCGAGTGCGAAACAGTTCGCGACTCCTTCTGCGACTTGGTGAGCGACTCGGTTTATCAGAACGACGATGATGCTTGGTGTTGCTCGATCGCTGCAATCTACGATTTAGACGCTCACAGTCGTGCAAGATACTTTTCAACTTAGCGTTCGTCTCCTTCATACATCGATCTATATTATCAAAACTCTTTTCCATTTGCGGTGTCATGTAGAAATCCTCCATGATTCCAATTCTCCGTCTCCAGGAAGTAACGTGCTCTGATACCAATGATAGAACTCTGCAAATTCTACAGCTAATTCACAGAAATCAACAAGAACGTAACTGCAAACTTTTATTAACAAAGCTACAATGGCCGAAGCCCCCAAATGAGCCGAAGCCCCCCAAAAGAGAGAATGATCTCAATCTTCCCAGAAAAGACTAAACGGTCAATAATAGTCTATCCACAATATTCAGCTTACTACTATTTATAGTAAGTATGTAACTCCTACTAACTGGAAATAGTTATTAGCTAACAACAACTTTAACTAATAACTAACTCTACTTTCTAAAATATACTTTGCCAAAGTATTTATTTTCTCTCTTCGGTTTAGTAGAGTCTCTAGCACAAAATCCACGGAGAAAGACGGAGGAATTGACAAAGAGACGGACGGACCACCGCCGAAGCTAGAAGTTAGATGCGGTTGACCTTGTTTCCACGTTCACCGACTGAAGAGGCAGACTCTTGTTTGTGTTTCACAAAGCAATAGTATACAATCACTGACATGTTCAGGAAAGTCCGAAGTAATAATACGAAATACTACCTCAAGCAAGAATCTATCAAGCAAGAATCTGATGTTGGGGAAGAACATGACGAACAGAGGAAGCAATGCGAGATCTTCATAACTTGGGTAGGATTTGTGTTCCTAATCATTTCAGCCCACCTTTTCCAGTATGCCCATTATCCCAAATTTCCACAGAAAAGAGTCATAGGAGAGTAGCTTTTCTTGTTAGGGAATGATGAAGGAGTCCAATAGCAGCCCAGAGATTTTCATGTTGTGATTGTGAGCTCATAAGAGATGGACAAGTACAGGTTTGTCGTTCAAGTAGAAGCACGGATCGAGAGAATGCACTATGATATGGACTTAAAATCCATTGAAATCCAAATAATTCCATGTTATTGAAATCCATAGGATTCTACGAGTCTCATAGAATCCATATAATTCCATTAAATTCTATAAAATCCACAATCTTTAAAAATCCATCAAAATAATTGTTGGGGACACCCCCCTAACTCCCTAAGAATGGAAGAGTTTCTCCCTTTTACCAAACAGGCTGTTCAGTACTCAGTAGTTATTTAAATGAATGGAAACAATCTAACAAAATCCTTAGCGTAAGTGCAAATGAATGTTAGCTGAGCAGTCCACTCTACCTATGTGTGTTTTGAACTTTTTTCAATGAAAGGCGAGTGGAGAAATGGATCTGGATATAACAAATCCAAAGCAGCTTAATAGAAGGGTGTTCCTGAAAAAGCTAGCAGTGGATTTGTGCACAAGTGAAAGGAGGATACTATACCGGGCACAATATGTAAGTCCGCAATGCAAACCTATTCCATGTCACGATGTTTTTACTTGAAATGTTTTCAGCCCCAGACTAGACTTAAACAGACCAGACCAGACTTCCATAGTTATAAAAGACACAGAGATCAGACATTTACCAAACCAGTTAGACCAGACCAGACCAGATTTAAACAGACCACACCAACAAATTTACCAAGTTATGTTAACTCCGTGACCATATGTTTTTTTTTCATAAATTTAAATTTGTAGTATTTAGTAAATAATTTAAATATGCTTAGCATTTATGAGGGTGTGGTTAACATTCTTCGCCTCTATTTGTGATATAAATAATATTAACTTTGAGGCTTCGATCTATGTAGTTGCAACAATTTTAATTTGATATTTTCTAATCAAAGTATACTTTGATCATCAACATTGACTATTAGTAAAAATTATAAAAAAGTCGCTTTTTGAAATTTTGGTTTGCAACAGAGTTTGTATAAATATTTTTATACGAAAATTGTTTAATAGAATAATGAATAAAATAAAGTCAATGTCTAGTATGTGAACAATGTAAACGTTAATTAAATATTTAATGGTGAAAATAGTGCGACAGAGAATATGAAATCAAAATTGTTGCAACTACATAAATAGAAAGTTTAGAATGTTAACTATATCCACACAAATACTTAAAATACATCAAATTATTTATTTAACACCATAGATTTACATTTGTGGAAGAAAAAAAATACTATGTATGGTCAGTCTTAAGGTAACTTCATATAAAGTTAAGAGTATATATGTTGGTCCAAAATAGGACGCTCGTAGGCTTTTAGGAAAGCTACGTACGACACTCAAGCAAGAATTAGAAAAGTACGAATATGGAAAGTTAGCCAGAAATAGCATATCTGTATTTGAAATTCGAATTGCCTTTTATAGGCGATTACAAATGGTAACTACCGAACATAATAATGACTAAATTAATTACAACATTAATACAGAATTAAACACATAATTAAGTCGCGCATTAATTGTTGGCCGTTACTCTTCTTGGCTGGCAGGTCAGCCTGGCTGGCAGGCTGGACGCTTGAGCTCCCTCCTGCTGGACTGGATGGTGGGCTTCCCGCTAGGCTGGACGAAGGCTTCTGACCGGGCTGGAGGCAGGCTCCCGGGTAGGCTGGAAGGTAGGCTCCCGGGTAGGCTGGACCGCAGGCTTCCAGTTGGGCTGGACCGCAGGCTCCCAGCTGGGCTGGTGGTCGACAGGCTCCTGGCTAGGCTGGAAGGTAGGCTCCCCACTGGGCTGGAAGGCAGGCTCCCGGGTAGGCTGGACCGCAGGCTCCCAGTTGGGCTGGACCGCAGGCTCCCAGCTGGGCTGGTGGTCGGCAGGCTCCTGGCTAGGCTGGAAGGCGGGCTCCCCACTGGGCTGGAAGGCAGGCTCCCGGGTAGGCTGGACCGCAGGCTCCCAGTTGGGCTGGACCGCAGGCTCCCAGCTGGGCTGGTGGTCGGCAGGCTCCTGGCTAGGCTGGAAGGCGGGCTCCCGGGTAGGTTGGACCGCAGGCTCCCAGTTGGGCTGGACCGCATGCTCCCAGCTAGGCTGGTGGTCGGCAGGCTCCTGGCTAGGCTGGAAGGCGGGCTCCCCACTGGGCTGGAAGGCAGGCTCCCGGGTAGGCTGGACCGCAGGCCCCCTGATTTCCCTGGTTGGTTGGGCTGACTCGAGCTCTGGGTTGCTGGGCTTGGGCCCGCTGGTCCAAGTTCGGGGCCTGGGCCGATTAGGCTCTGGGCCTAGTCCCATAACACCATCACGAGTCCCCCACTCCCTTAGTCGAGTAGTAGACTCGGCTAAGAGGGAGTAGTTTAAGTCAGCTGCCGATTTAAAAATATTCACATATCAGGGAGCCATAATTGTGGATTATGGGAATCCCAGAATTTATGGAAATTCCCAAATTAAATCAGGCTCCCAAAAAAGGCTCCAAATAAATTCCTTCCTTTTCTTTTCTTTCCTTTTCTTTTCTTTCCTTTTTTTTTCTTTTCCTTTCTTTTCTTTTCTTCCTTTCTTTTCTTTTCTTTCCTTTTCTTTTTCTTTCCTTTCTTTTCTTTTTCCTCTCTCTCCTGGAACCGCGTGCGTGCGTCTTCCTCGCGTAGCCCCTGCGCAGCACAGCAGTCGGAAATCCAGCTCCCCTGCGCAGCACAGCAGTCGGAAATCCAGCATGCCTCAACCCCCAAATCGCAGACCGATTCTTCAGCGGCAGGGCGTCGCCGGGTGAATCTCCAGGCTGACGGTCGTTCAGCGGCAAGGTGTCGCCGGGTTGAACCTTCGGCCGCAGCAGGGCTTCACCGGACGGACCTTCACGACGGCGGACGAACTCGAGCGGAAAATTGCCCAGTGCCCCAGGTCGGACGTCACTCGCTCGGTCGGCGCTGTTGCTTCCAGGATTTAGGCGGCGGCTCCAGGCGGTGATAACTCGGACGGAGTCGGCGGCAGTGGATCCAAGACGGCGATGGATTCCTTTGCGGTGGGTCTAAACTTGGCTGCCCTCCATCGTGCGGCGGATGCGGCGGCGTCCCAGTCCGTCGGGCGTCCGCGTTGGCCGGCGGTTGCCCCGACGCGGTTCTTCTCTCTAGCGGCAAGGTGGCTGCTGCCATCTTCTTCCTTTTACCTTGAGAGAGACGGAAACATGTGTGAATAGATGTCCCACTAGTCCGCCTAAAAACCCTGCAGGCATAGCAATCCCATGTTCGTTCACTGTTAAATGTTAATCTTGTGGACATAGGGAACTTTGGCGCCTTTCCACTTGGTCAACTGCTGGCAGCCTGTGGCGCAGGTCCCATGCCCTTGGTTGGCCGGTATTCTGTGAGTTGACGGTGATGCCCAGCCGCGGGTTGGACTGCTGACCTCCATCACTCAGCGACAGCTTCTAGGATGGAGGCCGCGAAGGGTGCAGCGGCCACGATGGTCTCCTTGTTCTGTATGAGTCCCAAACGTCTTGGCACCTCAACCTTTAGGACGTATTAGAATGAATCCCTACTGCTTGGTGCCCCTCCTACCAGGCGTTCGTGCTATAGGACTGGCGGGTGAGGGTCACGTTCTTATTCTTCACAGGTGGGCGATCCTCCAGATGGGTGCCCTTCTAACAACGACTTTTTTTTTGCAGGTAGGAATACCAACAAGCGGGCATCAGCATGAGGCTTAGGCCGGGCGCATATGAGGGATAAGTGGCTTCATGTCCTCCCATGTTGAGCGGCAAGCATTCGGAGGTTGGCGCCCGCAACTCAGATTGGAGCAAAGGTGGCTAGCGGCAGGCCTGTCACTAATTGGAGTGTGGCGGATAGTAGTCACCTTCGACCACCCGTCGAAAGGGGGATGACCATAGCATGGGCCGCGCTGGAGTCCAGATTTGGAGAGAGATACTTGAGATTCTTAGCAACTCCCCTCACTAGACCATTGTACTTGATAAGGATGAGTTCACCAAGTCATGATCTTGTATTTTGTATTTCCTTTGTTTCCCACTTGAATACTTTGTGTTTCGAATGGATGTTTGATTTTTATTTCGTACGCCTCCTTTTCTATACTTTGCATTACGAATACTTAGCAATTTATTCGGGGATCTGGCTTCTCTAACCTCCCGGGGGGCGGTTAGGCTGGCGTGGCCGAGCCTATCCGTGCCCCTCCTAGTTGGGTAGAAGTGATCTGTTCGCTATTGATATGGAATCAACAAGTAAGCGACTTGTTTGGCCAGCAAGGTCGGACATTGAACCGACGAGGAAGACCCTTAGGTTGGTATCCTGAACGTTCATGACCCGGGGGTCAGTCCTACTGTCACTTTAACCCGTCCGGTTTGCCCGGACTTGGGGAATAATCTGGTTACTCCCGCATGGATAGCCAAACAACAGGGGTGGACCCTGCATGATCCACCAGAACGAACCCGCACCGCCAACTCAGGGATGACGAGAGTGCGAGCTGCTTGGCCAGCGATGTTAGGCGGCGAGCACTCGAAAGGACCCGGAGGTCAGCATCCTGAGTACCCTCGACCCGGAGGCCGGCCCTACCGTCGCCTCGACTGTCGCGGCTAGCTCTTTACTTTAGAAAATTGCCCAGATTCTTGAAAATCGCTTGGCTATTTTCGGTTAAAGAGCCTAGCCGAGGTCGGCCAAACACCGAGGGGGGGCATAGTACCTTTTTTTTTTGCCGCCGCCCTTTATTGCTAAGTGAGGTCGGACCTCTTTTGATGACAAAATATCGCTAGCAAAGTATATTGAATTCATGATGTGGGCGGACCACATGAAGAATTACAAATTGTAATCCCGTGCTCGGAGCACAGGAGTTTACAAAGAAAAGTGAAACTTCGATTTTCTACTGGTAAAACTTCATCAGGTGCTCGGCATTCCAGACGCGGTCTACCAACCGGCCTGTTGTTGTCTTCAACTTGTATGTCCCAGGGCCGATCACTGCGTCAACCACGTAAGGGCCTTCCCACTTGACGGAGAGCTTTCCTCCCTCTGTCGGCCTGCTGGCCTTCCTACGTCTTAGGACATAATCACCGACGTCGAAACTCCGGGGTCGGGCTCGGCTATCTTGGTACGCCTGGACTTGTCGTCGATAGTTTTCCGCTTTGATGAAGGCACGGTCTCTTCTTTCCTCAATGAGGTGGAGCTCGGCTCGGAGCCTCTCCTCATTGCTGGCTGGTTCGAACTCTTCTACTCGCCGGCTGGGAACCACGGCCTCGAATGGTGCCCTCGCCTCAAAGCCATAACACAAGGCAAAGGGGGTCTCTCCTGTTGCCTTCCTTGGGGTTGTCCTGAAGGTCCAGAGTATATTGTTCAACTCCTCCACCCAGGCAGTCCCGAGGGCCTCCAACTTCTTTTGAAGTCCATCGACGATCGTCCGGTTGGTGTTCTCCACCTGTCCATTTGCCTGGGGGTAGCAGACCGCAACTCGGCTGGATTCTACTCCCCACTCTGCACAGAATTGCCGGAAGGCTTCGCAGTCAAACTGCCTTCCGTTGTCGGAGATTATTTGGAGGGGAACCC